TATATTTTCAAGTGTTTAGAAAAGTAGATTAAAATGCTTTTATTTAAAAAAATAGGAGAATGTAAAAATGATTTTAAACTAAAAAAATGATTTTAAAGCTGTATTTAATGACTTTATCATATTGGAAGAAAGTAGGATTGTTAATAAGTATGTTAGCAGAATAATCTAAATCATTTTTCTTCTTTAAAAATTGTGAAAAACCATGGAAGGGATAGGTTGTTGTATCGATACTGACAAGGCTAAGCCTCTGCAGATGTCCAGGTTACTGGCATATGTGTACAGTAGGTAGAGGCCTAAGGAGTTATGGGTCTTTTGAAGTATGTCAGTCAGGGCACTTAATTTTGGATTCCTTCCCAAACCCGAACACTATAAAGACATGTGCTAGAACCACGATATATGCTGAAATTTGCCTCTCTTTAAAAACTGTACTTTGGGAGGATTGCTAAGGAGTCTAAGAGCAGCTGGGACAGTATAGTGACTCTATTTCTACAGAAAATTAAAAAAAATCAGCTGGGTACGGTAGCATGTGTCTCTAGTTCCAGCTACTCACAAGACTGAGGTGGGAGTACTGCTTGAACCCTGGAGTTCCAGGTTGCAGTGAGCTATGGTGACGCCAGTGCACTTGAGCCTGGAAGAGAGTGAGACCCTGTTTCTAACAAAAAGAAGCCAACACCTGCTCCCTGACCCTGAAAGTTGCTTTAAATGTATAATACTAGTGGATTTCCAGAACACACAAGCGTTTAATAGTTCAAATGTTTAGAATGAAAATCAAGAACTTTGGTCACCGGATCTGCCAAAGATTTGCTTTAAAATTTGAAGAATATTCTGGTACAGATATCTGTATTATAGCATGATTTATGTACCAGAATTGTACCAGAATGTTCACTGCAGCCCAATTCACAATCGCTAGGTCATGGAAGAAGCCCAAGTGCCCATCGACCCATGAATGGATCAATAAATTGTGGTATATGTACGCCATGGAATACTATACAGCCACAAAGAAAGATGGAGACCTTGGGGAAGATGGGTGAAGAGAATGATATTGTGGGGATCACGCCTATAACTTATCCTATTAGGGTACATGTGAATTTATCTAAAGGTTGAATATAAATGTCTTAACACAACAATTACGAGAAAGACATGATGGCTATGTTAGCCAGTTGGATGAGTCTTCCAAACTGCGGAAGCAACACACTGTATCCTACGATAGAATTAATGTACACAATTATGATCTAATAAAAAATAAATTAAAAAAAAACTTGAAGAATGTTATTAAGTAGCCTATTCGTCAGTTTCTAAATCTGTTACATGTAAATATTAAACTTTACTTGTGATTTGATATTCAAGAAGCCAATAGAAACCTGTGAACTTTACAAAGTAAAGCAAATAGATGATTTAGTGGAAACACAATTTGAAAACACCAAATACAGAGGGTGCCAACAGAAAGTATACATATTTTAAGAAAGGAAAAAAAGTATTAAAATTATAATACTCAATATACACCAATAACAAAAGATGAATATAAGTCACATTGACCCCTTCTTATAATTGCAGAAGTCAAACATGATTTGAGTTTTACAAATTTAATTGTTTTTTCCTTACTTTAAATGTGTATACATTTTTGGTACCCTCTGTAGAATTTAACAAAGCCCTGTATATTCTTAAGTTTTAGACATGTTTTCTAAGTATTTCACCTCTTTTATCTGATGTAAATCTTTGCCTCCAACTCCTGTACTTGAGTTGTAGTGTGTTTTAAATGTGTTTCTTAGATTTTACAAATAAGTTTCAAGATCAATATTTGGATTGTTTTAAATAAAAAAACCTCTCTTTAAAAAACCTTTGAAAAATTACCAATTAAATATTTCCAAAGCAAGTTATTTCTTGGCTTAATTAATGTCTTAATGTAGTATTTTTAAACTTATGTGCAAGTGGAAAAAAGGCACTGGCTGGTGCAGGGAGTCACCTGAGTTGTGTCTGATACCACAGAGTGGAGTTGGACATGTTGGTCTCTTCCACCCTCGCCACGCTCCTGGGCTTGGAATGGCATGACTGGCATCTGCGCAGTCATCTCTTTCTAAGGTCTATTGCTTTGTCCTTCACTAGCAAACTCTTTCTGATCTGAGAAACAGAGGTGATCATTCATTAAAAGAAAGGTCACCAAATGTGACTTACAAATAAGGGGCAGTTCTCTTGAAATTTTGGACATTTCGTCTGCATTGACACAACCATTCTAATCGTTCTACGCTATGACATCAGAGTCCTGAGAGACAAGGCCGAACTGACTTTTGTCACTTTTGTCTAAAAGTGTCCCCAAACATTTACAAATGAGGCTGTTACCACGCATTAATGTGCTTTAATTTGCTATCTTTTGAATATTTTAAGAGATTCTGAAAGACAAAACAACACTTCTGACTGCTAACTGTTTCAGATGAAGAACTTATACAGCTGGGAAGAAAATGTTTTTTAGAATCAGATGAACCTGAGTTCAAATCCTGATTCAGTTACGCATGATCTTGGACAGTTATGTAAGTTTTCTAAGGCTCAGTTTCCTAACTTGTAAAACAAGAGAATAGTATTTTAAACTTTGGAAAATTGCACATACTAGAAATAACATAGGTAAATTACCTGGCACATAATAGTTACTTGATGATAGCTATAAACAACATTTGAAGAATAAAATGTGTTTTTATTCTAATATCTTACTGGTATGATAGGAGTAACTAGCAATACTCTTCCAGGGACAGGTGTGACTGTTATCTGCTGTATCATTCAGAAAGCCCAGCCTTGGCACTCAATGATTATTTGATGAATGAATACGTGTCAGTGTAAATAGATACGTAGGCTAGGCAATTACAATGATAATATATTCAGTTAACATAGTTCGCTATATAGCAAAAAAGAGACACAGCATTAGAAACTGCTTCAATGTTTAGCTCATCAAAAAAGTTACATTAGCTAGTAAATCAACCCGTTTTCATAACCAGCTGCACATCAGACCTATGCACATTAATTAGTATTTAATTTTATTAGGTTTAATATTGAAAAAATTCTTATTTAGATCTTCATTAAGCATATGCTTCCTGTTAGCTTACACTGGTTGGTCACATCCATATCATCAGTAGACCTTTATTCTTGTCCCTTTCAGCTATTTATATAGTTATACTTTTCTTTTATTAATAAACTTTTCACCTGTGTGCTTTGACACACCCTAACAGTAGCAATACAGGTCAGATGTTTTACACAGATACACACAACAAGAAAATAAACGACCAAGCCCAAGACTACAGGAAATAAGTCTAAACTTGACCATCGGAAGAAATAAAAATATAAATAAATGTTAGTCTTTTCCATTATAGATGAATTGAAATACATCAATAAAATACATACACTTTGCATATATGAACTTAGACCTGAAGTGAAGTGAACTGAGGTAAGAGGTATCAAATTATATAACACAATGAGACTGACAATGTCTCATCAAAATGAATGAAGGTATGTTCAATAAATACGGTATATTTTTAAATAGTTATAGGCTTTGTGTAACTTTAAAATTAAATTTTCATTTGTGTTGAATTATCTAAAAAGGAATATAAGTCAGTGAAAAGTTGGAAGACATTTATGGGATAAAGTATCCGTCAAATACATAAAAAATAAAGTTTCATGATATTCTTTAAGAATATTAAGAAGGCACTAAGCATTTCAAATATCTTCTAAATCTTATATTCTTTTAACACAAGAGGTTCATTGAACAGTTCTTCATTAAATACCGACGTCAAAACGTAACATATAACACAAGAAGAATGGAAGGTGTAAGTGGCAACTCTAGGAAGGAAAACACTTGATTTTTACTATCAGCAACAAAGACATGCAGGTGGTAATGCTTCTCCAGCTTGGTGGTGTTACCCATATACCTCGCTTTTTAGTAAAAGCCTCAGCAGTTTCCCCATTTCCAGTATTAGTCTGTTTTTTAAAGCATGTCATTTTCATAGTTAAATAATAATACATTTAATATCACCTTTTATTTCCTCCCTGTCATTTCCCACAAATCATTACTGTTGGGTTTTGAATATTTTCTGTAAAGTTTTCATGGTCAAATTTCTGGATGTCTCAATGTATTTATGTCCTAAGTGCTTCTGTACAGTTTTTATACAATTTCTGAGGACACTATTGCACAGAACACAGATATTTTTCCAATACATCTACTTTTAAATAAATCTGTCTCCTTCGTTAATAGTGGATGAAGAGATACAATAAATTCAGGTTAAAAACCTATTGTCAATGGTAAAAATGGTTTACTTCTACAAGAAAATCATAAAACAGTTTCAAGATTAAAAATTCTGGAAATCAGGTTTTCAAGCCTTTTTTATTAGAAAATTTAAATTATTCCTTTTTTTAAAAAAAAGGGAGTAGCCAATATCCATTTTTTAATTTTCTCAAACAAATAATAATCAAGGATAGCAAACTAGGATATGAAGACACATTAGAAGACAGCTTTCTACTTTGCACAACTTCTAGTTACCTTCTCCTATTCATTCATCTATTTCTGTTCAGCAGCAAGAAAAAAATATATCCATTTATTTTTGCCTTTTTTGGGTTTTCCAAGATGAGCTTCATTTACCTGAATACAAACAAAAGCTAGGAAACGGCTTTTATACTGGCATAAGCCAGGGACACGTCTCATGAACCAGGAAACCCTGCCTTCTATGGCTTCTTCTGTAGCTTAGAGTCCAATAGTTATATAACGGGAAGTCGAACAATATTCAAAATGACACAGATTGACAACAAATAACAGAAACACTTGGAATCCTCTTAGCTGTTATTCTTTCCAAAAGACAAATCCCTAGTGTTCTGTCAATAAAATTATAAATACTAAAGCAATGAAGAGAATTTCACAATGGGGAAAAGAATCATTTCTTATCATAATAAATATTTTGGTACAAATTTTTAAAAAAGTAGAAAAGTTTAGTACCTTTGGGTACTTTTTTCTAATAAAACCATACCTGCTTCAGAACTTGTTTGATTATAGCTGCTAACAATGCTGTTTGGTATCACTGGAGTGGAGGACGTTGAGATTCTTGACTGAGGTGGATTGGGATGTAATGAATTTCCTAAAGCCATGCCCGACTGACTGAGCATCCCACAGTTCCCGCTAGCCTGAATCTGATTTATTAAACCTGCAAGATGGTGGTTGGGGACTGGACTGTTACTGTGAACAAAGTTAGTGTTTGCATTGTGGCAGTGCACGGCTTCCCCTCTTAACGGTATGTTCTGTGTCAGTGAATTCTGAAGAACACTGGCGTTCATACTGGGATCTGTAAAATGCAGCTGGTTAGCAGAGCAAGGCAAAGCAGTATTTGAGCCCCCACAACCCGGGGTACTATTGCTACTCAAGTGAGAGCTTTGACAACTCATAGACTGTAGTAACTGAGACATTGAACTGATGGGGAATGAACCCTGACCCTGCTTCCTTAGCAAGTCGGGTCCAGGTTTAGGAACTGCAGAACTATCCATTTGAGACTGTCTGAGCAAACCCAACACTGTGGGAGGTGGCTGTTTTCTTTTCCGCAATGAGTCTTTTTGCTGAGACATCAGCTTATCTCTTAGTGCTGCTCGACCACTTTGCCCTTCACCTGATGGGAGAAGCATGTTGGCAGTAGGAGGGAACATGGTGTTTAAAGTGCTATGTCCTTCAGTGTTGCCACTGCCGGCAACAGCTCCAGAATTGCTACTGCTGCTACTGTTGTTACCAGCAAGTTTGTTTTGATTTGCTAGCTGTGCTTTGGCTGCTGCTGAGAGTAAACTACTTGCTGGAAAGGAGGCAGCATTGTGCTGGTTCAAGATCTGATTTAAAGGCATTCCCAGCAAACCAGGCTGACTCTTTACAGAACCACTTCCGGCAGATGCAGCAGGAAACGCTGCACTGCTTGGGGTACTTAGTACATTATTCATTCCAGCAATTAACGGGTTAGGGATATCCTTGTACTGATGATGTCCATCGGACTTGGTAGAAGGGCTTGATGGCACTGATGGCCTTGGGGACCCTATTGTTGACCTTGGTGACCTGGGTGGAACCTTAATACCACTACAAGTGGCCTGGGGTCCTATAGGTGGCATCATAAAGTTCCCATGATCTGATGATGTGGAAGATGAGCGTGATCTTTGGGGCGATGCCTCAATCCTTCCAATTCCAGTCCCCATCATGTGCACTGGGGATGTCACTGGAGAAGGGGACAGGGAGGTTGAAGCTGAATGCTGTACTCTTTGTACATGACTCCCATGATTCATGTGACCGGGTTTTACGGTTGGCAAAGGGAGATTACTTGGCAAAGGAACAACAGCAGGAGGCATGCTTACATTCATCACAGGTACCTGAGAGTGGACGTTTGAATGGAAACTGGTTGGATTAATGATAACAGGGTTTTGATTCACTGGTTTACTAGGAATAGGGTCAAGAATGCCAAGTGGATCTTTCTCAGATGTTAATGGCTTTTTCTGAAGAGCACAAGAAGGTGGAGGAAGGGGAGGTGGGCCTTGGGGTGGTTTGTGGTGAAACATTGCTCGTGGTATTTCCATATTAGTTGAAAAATTACACATTGGTTTTTTCATTACTGGACTCTTTGTAGTCAAGGTTGGGGAAAGAGGTATATTAGTCCTTCCAGCCATTGCACAGGACGACTGTACAGGAGAACCATGTAGCATTACTGAAGGTGGAGAGAGAGGAGTCCTATTCAGGTGAATAGGACTAGAATTGGGAGCTCCATGAAAACCAGGATTATTTCTTGTGAAAACATCAGGACTTCCAAGTGGGTCAGTCCTTGGAGATATTGAACCATCCCCATAAATCTGGGAACCTGATGATGCTGGGCTGGGCAGGCCTCCATGGCTGCCGCGAAATGGAGATTTCTGTCCGTGTTCACTGCTGCCCAATCTCTGCCGGGGGTAGACGGGGTGGAGTTCTTGTTGTTGGCTTACAGGCAATTCTTGTACACATAGCCTTCCCATGGCATTTGACGATCCAATCATTAATTTGAAAGGATTCTTACATTCAGGCATTACAGAATTTGTAATTCCTTCATGAGACTTATTTCTTATGGATCTTGGAGTTGCTGCCCGTGAAGGTACTACTGGAGTTGCATCTGATATGAAAGAGAAAAAAAGAATTCGGTTAATAATTTCAATTCTTTGATGTTGGGAGAGGAAAGGAAAGGAAAGGGAGAAATCAGGAAGAGAGAGAGAGAGGAAAGGCATCTGGAAACAGAAATTTGCAATAAATGCTGTGATTCCACGCAACTGAAAAAATTCTGCATGCTATATTAGACTTCGGTTTTAAAAATGCACGTTATTCTCTGTTAGTTGATCAGCGGTTCTCAGTAACTACTCAGTATGCTATTTACTTCTTATCTGTTAAAAAAGCATGGGTGTCTAAATCTGGACAAAATGACATTAGACATTCTAATAATATTTAGAATGTGTAAAATCAAGACTGGCAGCCCAGACGAAAACAGCTAAGTTACTACCTTGGATTTGAAACTCTTAAGAACACACTCAGTAATGAAAATTGTAACCTGTGTGTGGCGTAATGTTTTCTTGGGCAACTTAAATGAATTGCCATTTCTACCAGCAAACCTGCACACTATAAATGTTTCTGTTACCTTCTGAAACTTTCTCAGTAGCTACAGTAAGATTTCCTTGTCCCAACATTTTCACTGTGAGAGTCAGAATCTTAATTTCTGTAAATTAAATGAATGGGATTCCCAAACTTTTATAAGTGGAATGATAATAAGAATAAACACAGTGACAGTATAGTCACGTTTAGCTCCACATTGTGTCTGTAATACTGTCATTTCTTTGCCCTTAATTAATTTTCATTATAAAAAAACCCATTATAATCTTCATTATAAAAAAAGATTGCAATTCTTTTACTGCAATAGAATTCTCATGTAAAATTTAGTTGGAGTGCTAAAATTTTTGGTATTGCTTTCCATTTGAGTATTCTCTTTTTACATGAGTGCATTTCTCACTCTCTGGCTTTTGGAATCTCTTCAGTTCTTTTGGAGATCAGACAGCATACAGCCAACAAAAGCAAGCTGGCTCATCATACGGAATATCTATTCTATCATGTCAGAATTCTAGATTTAAGTTTTTAGCCCCAAAGGGTGTTTAACTATTTTATAAAGTTGTGCCCTCTAAAACAGAGATGGCAAATAAAATTCATTTCATATGCCAATTCCTATCAATTGGTGGTGGCTGCTTAAAGAGCTGTGCTGAAAAGGATGCTGAACTCTAGCTGGGCTCTGTGAGAAATTACCAATGAGTCTGTTACATGCACAGGAGATGAGAGCAGCACCTTCCATACCATCCATCTGCCATCCCTATTTTGAGACTTATATAAGCAAGTATAGGCACATGCATTTGCAATCAGAGGTATACTTAAGTGGATAATGACATTTAAAAGACAACTATTTCTCCTATCTGCTAGATAGTAGTTAGGTTAAATTATATCACAACAATTTTGAGGACAGTTCTCAACCTGGAGTGCACAGAAGTCTACCTCATGTACATTCAAATAGTAAGAGGATAAAGAGAATTTATGTTTTTACTGGGAAGTGTGAACTTTCTGATTCTATCATGATGAAGTTTCTTTGATAGGGTGGTTTCTGGATATATAAAAAGTTGAGAACCAATGATATAAGAGAATTGTAGCAGATAAGCTCAAATGAAGTTTATTTTCTTGTTAAAAAGAGATTTCAGTGATTAAAAATATAGACGGGTATTTTTATATTCAACTAACAGAATTTAGAGAGTGTGTTTTAAAAAGGATTTCTTCCATATCTGGGGAAAAACAGTTACCATCTTTAAAATAGAAGAAATACTAAATAAATAAACGTTAGGGTGATGTTATATTATAATTAGAAACTGAACTATATAACAGGCGAGAAGTGTAATGCTAGGCACGCATCAAAGTGCTTTCGTGGGGTGGAAACTGGCTCATGCCTATAATCCCAGTGCTTTTGGAAGCCCAGGTGAGAGGATCACTTGAGGCCATAAATTTAATACAAGCCTGGGCAACAGAGCAAGACCCTAATCCCGAAAAAGGAAAAAAGTGCTTTCATGTATGCTCATGCAGACTTTTCAAAAGAATAAACATAAACAAAATAAATGTTCATGTATTTAAATAAAAGGAGGTGAAAACTATCATGGAGTCTTCTGAACTTTCAATTATTTCAATTTCAACCTTATGATAACATAGTTAGGAAACAAAATAAATGCTTTTTTCTGAATCTAGTAGACATAATCAAGCAAATAAAATGTACCATTTTAAAAGGGAGTGGAGATGTACTAAATGTTTACCTTTAATTTCAATAATTAAACTTGTGTGTATAGTTATAACAAAGGACCTAGATCTAGATTTTGCTAGGTTCTTCAGAAAGGCACTAATAAGGTAGACTCTGTAGAAACAGATACAACCATTTGAGACAATGTGAGAACAGATAAGAGTATGTGCAAACGCAAGTGCCAGACAATGGGCAAAAATGAAAAGAGTTACCACAAGCTGGCAGGATAAAGGCAAATTTTAAGTAATTTATGACTATTAAATATGTTTTTATTTTTTTTTATTTTTATTTTTTGCAGTTTTGGGCCATGGCCGGGCTTGAACCCGCCACCACCTCTGGTATACAGGGCCAGCACCCTACTCCTTGAGCCACAGGTGCCAGCCTATTAAATGTGTTTTAAATTGGTGCTATATCTTTCCATTTTAAAAATGTAGCTTAGGTGAGGGGTAGGGGAAAAATGTAGATTAATGAAAGAAAAAGAAAAGTTCCCTAAAAGTTTTTTCTTACATACTTTAGTGGTGCTATTTTTTTTCTGATTATTCCTGTTAAAGTTTAACCAAACTTAATGTCATCAGTATGGCTGTTGTCAAATGACACTATGTGCCCACAGTGGGGAGGTAATATCATCCCATGCAGAATTCCTACCAAAATGTGCTTAGCCTGAGCCTAAAACATGAAGGTCTACAATCAGGCATATCCAAATTGAGAAACATCCTGCAAAGCTGGCCTTGACTTTTCAAAAATTTTGATGTCACGAAAGATTGAAAAAGACTGGGGAGTTGATGTGGATTAAAGAAATGTAACAACTAAATGCAATGCACAGTCTTTGCATTCTGGATTTGAAGAACAGACTGATTTTTTTAAAGCTATGAGACATTATTGGTACGACTGGAGAAATCTGAATATAGACTGCAGATTAGATAATATTGTACACATTATCAGTGTTAAACTTCCTGATGTGAGAATTAGATTGTTGTAATATGGGAGAATGTTCTTGCATGCTGAAATACTGAGGGGTTAATTACCACGACATCTGCAACGTCGGACATAAAATGTTCACTGGTGACTCTAACAAAATGGTACTCAACAAACTAGCCTTGCAATTTTTCTGTAGCTTTGAAATATTTTAAAACAGTGTATGCATGCACTTATGTGCACGTGTGTGTTGAGGGGCAGTCCAAAAAATGTCCAGCAAGATGACTTCCGTTAGGAACATATTCAATAAATAATAGCTATTAAGTAATTGAAAGAATAACACTGATACTTTCTGACAACATTGTTAGTTTGCTTTTGGGGACTTGATACCACACATTCCAATCCAACACTGGGGAAAAAAGCTACATTTGTTTCCTAAAAACCAAAGGCACTTTTTCTTTCCTTAGCTCAGCTCTACATACCTACAGAGCATTTGTATGTACCAATCAGGGTTTATTTTGATTGTTTAATTACATGATTTCGGTAAGAAATTTTGGGAAATAACCTCATGGTAATTTTTCAGGACTAATCTTCCACTTATCATGACAGGATATACAGAATTTTAAAGGAATGTGCATCCTTGAAAAGTAGAATGGGAAAATGCTTGACGAAGTGATTTCTAGAAGCTCCTTCTCTAAAGAGAGAAGGATTCCCAAACCCTTCACCATATTACATACTTGTTCCTCCTCCGGGACTGGTGAGCACCAGAGAAGGATGTGGGGCTTCCATGCTTTTATGAAGTGTCGCCACGGCAATGATTTTTCTTTTATGTATGCATAGCTTTGTGACATCTTCATCTGCCTTAACATCTTCTGCAGTTCTCTGTTTCACAGCAGCTCCAGGATCAAAATTAAACACCTGGAAAAAGCACAGCCTTTGTTTAGAATATGTCTGTAAAAATGTTTAGTAAAAGATCCCTTTAATTAAAAAAAAAGTTGTGCACAGATTAAGCCATAAATCTCAATAAAACTTTCCTAAATTTTAAAATTTAAGAAAAGCAATCTTATATAAACAATAAATATTTCTCTGAACTTATGGTTTTCAGAAAAAACCATACTAGTGGCAAAGTAAATAATGACTATTATCCTATTTCTAAGATAGCCAAGATTAATACATATATAAAAGGTATAATACCTGATAAAGTTCTCAGATACTTCCTAATGTTATAACAGTACAAAATCAGATGAAGTACAGTTAAAAACACTAAAACCCTGACATTCCTACATGCTTTTTCTTTGGCATCATTTTATTAGTATGTTAATAATATCTTTTTACTGGTTTTAAAAATCTATTACTTTACCTGAAACATTTTTATTTATTATGCTTTTTTGGAATGTGATGACATACAAATAAAAAGGAATAAAGTTGTCTACTAATCTTTAGTTTTAAAATTTGCGTCATAATAGATAATCAGAAAATAATTACCTCTTTCTATAGCAAATAATATTTTGCCATTTTGAATGAGTTTACTCTTTACCTTTCAAAGGAGAAAAACAGTTTCATATTTTGGCTACGAGTGCTCAGTTTTGCCATCTTAAGAATATTTGTGACAGATTTACTAATACCGCTGCTAAAGGTAAGGCTGCAGATTTGAGCAGTTACAGTCGTGGAAGAAAATACTGCAACTACTAAATTCTAAGCATAGGTATAGCTCTCATAAAACCAAAGCTGCAAAGATGGTTTTAATGAAATATTTAATATGAATGTAGGGTTTGACACCTTTGAAAATGACTCGGATAGAAACGATTTTCCATGATCTTTAAGCATTCCAAAATGCATGCAAAAGATGTCTAATTAGATAATGAATTAAAACGTATGATCAGAGAAGTAATAAAAAATGAAATGCCAAGTGAGAAAAGCAAACATACAAAGTACTTAAAAAATATATAAAAAAAAACTTCTGTAGATCTACTGTGAAATGGTTACCTTGGGAAGAATAAGAGGACATTCCAAGCCACACTTGCAAGTTCCATCAGTAAGCAGGTATGTTTTAACCTGCTCCAAGCAAGATAACAAAGACCCACTGGGACTGTAAAAATAGTTTTAAAAAACATCAGGAAATAATTTTGACTGCACATATTATATGAAAAAAGATATAATATATATTCTTACTGTCTTTCACAGGGTATTTTCTCACTAGGGAAAAGCATTTTCTTTGTCAATATTATGTTAGCTACTAAATTATAGCCTGTAACATTATTGCTTTTTCTTTTGAACCAAAACATTTCTCAGAAAAATATAGATCTTCATAGAAAATTAAAGTATTTTGAAAGCTAAGAGTGAACTAAAGAGGGTAAAGATGGCTTGCTTAAGAAAGGACAGAAGCAGGTAGAAAGGAACAAGGTACAAGAAAATAAGATAAAAGTAATTACTATCATTTCAGACCAGAAATGCTGTTGTTAAAACTTTTTGAGGAAAAATCGAAATTTAGAATATATTGGGGTTCAAACCAGAAAGGTGGCAAATCTACAAAAGCTAGAGTTGACAAGTTCTTCCTGGTTTACCCCGGAATCTAGAACTAAGTTGTCCCTATGTACCTCTCTTCCCCCCTCACCACTGTGTGTGTTTGGAGATAAATCAGTGCAGTCCGATTCATATTATATTTAAGAGCCAAACTATACAGAGAAGGACAGAGAAATCAAGCAGATCTGACAAAAGGTAGGAAACTTTTAAGTAAACAGGGTTCTAGGAGGCAGAAAGGTGCCTTGCAGATCTTCAGGGAAGTAACTGGGCAGGTACACCAATGTCACTACTAAATCGCCAAAGTCAGTAAGATACATGAGTACCGATCAAGTGCAAGTCTACAGATTAGGTACTAATTCAGATGACAGGGGAAGTCTTTGTATTTACATTGGGGGTTAGTTTAAAATGGGAAATTTCCATCTTAGGACTTTTATTATTAACACGTCAATTTTACAACTTAAATGCATATTATTGCTTTGAAATTACATACTTTTCACTTGAGAATATCTTTTATTTCTAACTATTTACCTAAACCTTCAATTAAGCCCTTTAATCAAATTCATTCAGAAATAATACTCTCCATTCCATATACTCTGTCTCCACAAAGACACAGGTATTTTATCATTCTTACCTGTAAATGAATCAGCTTTAAAATGCAACTCATATTTTGTTTATCAGTAATAATGTAAGTGACTTATGCATGTAGAAAATCTAAATGAAAATCCTCAACTTTGTCAAACTGCTCATTTATTTGGCTATTTTTTTTTTCAGGTGATAGGCAAAGAACAGTAATTCCCATATTACAGACGGGAGTTCCACAACACAGAGGGACAATGAGATGTTTCTGGAGGTCTGACCATTTTAACAAAAACGAAGTCAACAACAACCAAAAAAACTTACTGATTTTTCATGTGAAAAATTCATGAATTTGATAAGAGGGAACTACTCAACATTTTCACTTGAAAGACAGCGTATGCGTTAAATCTTAGAGGAATTTAATTGTAAAATCAAACCTGAAAACAAGAATTCCTAAATTCTACGCACATATTAGCATACTACACTTTAAAAACACTTCCTCTCAATCAGTCACTTGGGTTCTTTCCTTCAGTTGGAACTCTTTAATTAACTTTTTGGAGTAATAATTAGTGTTAAAATGAGCTAAAAGTCTGATGGCATAGATGAAGTGTAGAAGATTGGTAGTAGGTGGAAAATTTAATAGGTAGCGTGAATGCCACCCTGAGGCAGGAGCAGCTGGAGACTAACCTAAAAATTACCAGCAAACTGCATGGTAAGAGGGGAGCTCAGTCACGGAGGGCTAGCTTCCTATGAACGTCCAAGTAGTAATTTAACTCGGTACATACAAACAAATCAAATCCATGCCGCCTTAATTTAATTAGAAAGTATCTTACTTAATCTGAGAAAATTAATTATAAAATAGTTCTCCCTATATAGATTTGGGTTTGCAGAACTCATATTAACAGGGTTATTAGATATCAGACTTTAACTTTGCTTTTAGTTCCTAGAATTAATTTGGTTTGTTCTCAGAAATCTGAAATGCTGATTTATCTTTTACAGTAATGAAGTAAAAAACAAAAAATTATTCACATTTTAGAGTCATTTGTTCTAAGCTGAATATACATTCACTCTACAAACTAGAACAACCATAAATATATGTAACACTGATACCTTACTTTATTCCATTTATAGCAAGGTACTTCTGGCAATTGGTTAAGGGCACTGGCAATGGGAACACACTGAAAAAGTTATCCATGGTCCCTGCCTACTTTATATACCATGGGATGAGGTCCACGTTCCCTTCTCCCCAATTAATATAGGAAAAATACCACAGAAACAAAATTTATGTGACAGAAGAATTTTAATCGGTAATTAAGTTTGCCTCAAGAAATGCCTTACACAAAACAAACAAACTCAGGATAGACTCTGAACTGACTTTCTGAGTTGTTATGGCATAAATACTTTGTGTCTATGTAACTGAAAATACCTCATTCCTATAAATATTCTTTGAAGAACTTGAGAATTCTGTTGAAGCTGAGATGCAAATAGCTATAATGAACATAATAGTATCAATTTGATAATGCAAATTGATTTTTTGATTTTTTTTTTTAAAAGTTCAAGTCTGTTTCTTTATTAGCTCACAAAGAAATATCTATGGTATCCCAACCTTTCATATATATACTTACTGAAAAACTATGAAGTAAGGAACTTAGATGCCAATTATTTAACAAATAAGAGTAAAATTCCTTGTCAACAGTTCAGATACTCTATTCAACTTATTCTACAAGAGATACACAGGAGGGCCTTCAAAAATAGTTTACTATTTTATTTCATATTGCACATGAACTTTATGGCCACCTGTATGTAATCAAAACTTAGGAGGCATTTTCTTTGTGTGATTTTTGCTTGTAAGATGATGAGCCATGTCTACCCTGACTTTTATTTTTACTATTAGATGCAAGAAAATAGATTAAAGTCACAAATCAAGGGGAGGGATCGGGGACATGTGAAAACAATCCATCTCTGAGTCCCCAACCCATATTCATGTTACTGTTTAAAAACTATGCAGAAAAAATTAAGAAACTTATTTTTAGTTAATATCAGGTATTAAGAAGTCTAATAATTGGAAAAGCCTATAGATAAAAACACTGAATCTCGTGGAAGCACTTTGAAGGACAGAGTAGTACTGTCAAGTGATACCGGGTCTATTTCTAGTATTTTACATTCTACTGTAAATGGTAATAATGCTTATGTTTCTTTTAGAAATCTTTATATTTTTCTTCATCTTTGTTACAGAGATAAGCAGAATGATACCTTATGTAAACACAATAATGCATACAAATTCTCACTGGTAATCTAAGGCAATTTACATTGAAAAACAGTACAGAATGAAAATGCTCCTATACCTGATTTTTAGCACAAAGGTCATTTATTCAAATTAATTTGAGATGCTGTGAGTCACTGTATTTTGCTTCCTTAAATTAGGAGAACAGTCTCTACCTCCTTGGGCCTGCATGCCCTGTTGGAGGTAACACCCACAATAGTAAGGGCTCACCTGACATAAAGCACTCCATTTTGATCCACGCGACGCTGCCAACCCACAGGAACTTGTATAGCTGGAAGGCCTCCTTCCTTGTCCCCTCCGTCACACTCCTTGCCTCCATTCATTTTCTGTGTCTGCTTGGGACTCTCCAAAGATATCAGCAATAAGATGATATCCTTATATTACAGAGCATGATGGCCTTCAAAAATGGGCCAGTGCAGCACAGTTTTTTCCAGACTGTACAAAATGCACAGGGAAGCTTCGGTTCAGTTTGGAACCAAGTCCTTGAAATCTGCCATTGTAAAAAAATCAGTTTCCCATTATAATTACATTAAATAACCAATATTTAATTCCTAAGGATGGTCTACATGGATAAAAATGAGTGCTTCCAACTAAGGAAAATCATAATTCATCAATGCTGGTACCTGACTGAAGTGGAGAAGGGAGCAGGATAAAGTTTTTAGTTCAACATTTTGTCTTGAACCTTGATGTTGGACTAAAACAACTTCTATTATTTAGAAACCTCTCATTTTTACAGTGTGAGTCGGTTAATATTTCCAGGTACTACCCGCCTTTATAGGCCACATTCTTTAAACTTTCTCTTTATCTTCCACTCTGAATCCAAAGTGTTGCACGTTGGTTCATCTGATGTTTTCATGACTTCAAAATTCCAATAATGTATCCTGAAACATACGTAAACATGTAAACTGTAAATTTAAAGTTGAAAAACGAGGAAGTTGCAATATTTAAAAATAGAATAACTATTAAGTATACCCAACTGCTCTGATGTTTTCTACCATCAAAATCATGTCAAATTCAACTTGTTTTATTCTTCCAACATAATCCACTTACTCCAGTAAAACTAATTTACTTGCTCTTCACCACATGTAACTTTCTAATTACGAGAGATAGAGCCATAATTACGGCATTACACACATATACACAAACATACACTCTCATACATACAAAGCCTCCTTCTAACTTGAAATATATCTATCAGTACTCTTATGATTTATAAACTGGGAAGTTGAGTGTCAATCCAATCACAATTTGATCACATGTTGATACTAAATGACCCTTTGATTTTGTTGATACATTCCATTACAGAATCTATCTCATTTGTAACACAGAGATGCCTACATATACAATATTGGTCTAAAAAAGAAAAGGTTTCTTTTTTTAAGAAAAGAAAAAATAAATAAAAGGAAATAAACTTATAGTATATTTCCAAATAGAAGGTTTCCCCCCAATATTAATAAATGTAATAATGGGAGTTGCCTTATAGTACAGATTTTACAAAATCCCTTATATTAAGGGCGCTCTCTTAATTCTCTTGTTAAGTCACAGGGTGCACTTTGGGGAAGACATACTAGCTTGGAACAGTGGTAATCAGTGATTGTGTGAAATGCTATGGAGGATACCTTGATAGAGTCATTAAATCAAAAAAGATGGCAAATAAATTTTAAGAAGATTTAGTCTATAATCTTGTAAGAAATGTGATGCCACCATTGCTAGTATTATTTGTTGTTGTTAAGAAGCCTTTTTATGATCAATTTCATACCTAGTATGTAGTTATACTGTGAGATCCATGAAACTACACATGGATTAATTTAACTCTAGTGTTAAATGAGTGGCACTTGTGGTTCTGTGATAAACATTTCCTACGACAGCTTTGTTCACAGAGTCAAGAAATATCATATGTCCTGCAATCCCATTACTAGGCTTCTACCCAGAAGAAAGAAAATCATTTTATCATAGGACATTTGCACTAGACTGTTTATCACAGTTCAATTTACAATTGTCAAAATGTGCAAACCACCTAAATGTCCACCAAACTGTGGTATCTATATATATACCATGGAATACTATTCAGCCATTAAAAAAGATGGAGACTTTACATCTTTTGTATTCACTGGGATGGAGGTGGAATACATTCTTTTTAGTAAAGCATCACAAGAAAGTAAAAGCAAGAATCCAAAGTACTCAATTCTAATATGAAGGCAGTAGATGATCTAATACAAAGGGTAGGGGAATGAGGGATTGGGGAGAGGGAGGAGGGTAGGTGATGGGAGGGGTCATGGTGTATGGCACACCTCTGAGGGGCAGGACACAATTATAAGAGGGACTTTACCTAACAACCACAATTATTATAACTTAATTTTTTGTACCTTTAATGAATCCCAAACAACTAAAAAAAAAAAGAAATATTATATCTCTAACAACTTAAATGGAAGATGATATGCTATAAAAACTGTTAAATGACTTAAGATTCATATCGAAGCATTAAATTAAAATAGTTTTATATAAAATTTAGATAAAAAATCAATGTATTAATTACTTTAGACAATTTGTTTTAAATATGTATGTAAAACTTAATAACGAACAGTATAAACAGATACATGATTACTTAATCTACATTGCTAAAAGTCCACACCTTTAAGTTGGCCCAAAACATTGGTTTTGGACCTCCTCAATAGGGAAACAGGAGATGTCCTTATAGCAAAGCCCATCATGTATTCAAGCACAGGTCTTATTTGCAGCCTTGACTCTGGGACAGGTTAAGGGTGTTGTAAAGAAGGATATACTCTTTTAACTGAAAACCAGAACCTGTGGGTTTTGGTGTGGCAAATGCTGGCAGGCAACAGGAAAAATAGTAAGCATTTATTGGGAAAAATCGAGGGTATAAAGCAAAGTACCAAATAGTAAAAGTCCCAATTAAGCTGGTAATTTGCATTACTAAACCCACTACACCACGCTATGGTTCTACAGACATGACCCACTTCGAGGTGTAAGTTCCTATTTCTGTCTTTTGCTTACTGCACTTTTAACCCTGAGTCCTGCTGGCCTAGTATGTGTTTATTTACATCTCACTCAACAGTTAGTGAGTAGCTAATATGTACTAGGTACTGAAAGTATAAAGATAGTAGTAGTATAGGGTGACCAGATTTTAATATCTGTAAGGTGGGACAACATGGCCAGGGGGCAGAGTGGGGGGCTGAGCGGGGGCCAGCGGGCCAAGTGGGGGCGGGGGGCAGGGGACGGGGCAGGCAGGGCCTGACAACAATGCAAACTTTGAAAGCAGTTCTCGATAATCACTTCTCAGCAATTATTTATTACAGTTTAACATTATAAAATTAACACAAATAATATAAAACTCATATTCTGGCGAAATAGCCATATGGTGGCCGAAAACTGTATATTCCCTTCTTGTTCTCCAGCCCCTTTGTGCATTCTTTCCAAAAATTGGGACTTTTTTAAAATGCCACAGGACAGAGGACAAATTGTTGAAAAGTGGGACTGTCCCCGCCAAAATAGGGACATCTGGTCACCTTGTAGTAGTATGATCTGAAGGCTTATATACCCTCAAAATTCCCAGGTTGAAATCTAACCCCCTACGGTGATGGTATTAGGAGGGAAGCCCTTTGTGAGGTGATTAGGTTGTGGGGGCAAAACTTTTATGGGAGGGATTAGTGCCCTTGTAAAAGAGGCCCAAGGGGGATGCCTTTTCTACCACAAGAGACTGTAGTGAAAAGATAACCATCTATGAACCTGAAAGAAATTGCCCCCCCCTTGGATCTGATGATGATACCTTGATCTTGGACTTCCCAGACTCCAGAATTGTAAGATAAATTTGTTGTTTATAAGCCACTTAGTTTATGGCGTTTTGGTTTTAGCAGCCCAAACTGACCAGGACAGTAAGGTCCCACTTTAGCCAAAGCCCAGTGTAATGCTGAATGAGCAGCTTGATGTGGAGGACACAAAGGAAAGCAAAAGATGTCACTTCACGTTCTCGTGGAGTTCCTGGCCGTTGAAGGCCCAGTGCTTGGGAAAGAGGTGTAAATTTTGAGCCATCCTGGACTCCCAGGTTTGTCAAATACCTACAGACCTTGCTGCCTGAACCTTTTTTAAAACTAACCGTCCATGCCTGTTTATTACCTTTCTTTTCCAAAGAAATCCTTTCGGTGTTATCCAATCATTAGACTACATTCACTCCCACTTTCCCTACTTCTGACTTTTCTTACTAGTTGATGCCTTTTTTGTTTCTGGTCTGCCTGCTCTTGCATGTGGTTCCAACTTTCCCGAGACTGGCTGGCTCGCTCCATTAAGTAATTTGTGCATCTGCCAGATAATAACATGGGAGTGATTCCTGCCAAATGCCTCCCTCACATTTCCGTAATCAAAAATACTAATATATGATGGCGGGGTTTTGCTTAAGTCAGCAGTTCTCAAACACGATCCTGGGATAAGCATTATGATTGCCAGTAACATGTCAGAAACCCTGATTCAGAGGCCCAACCTCAGACTTACTGAATCATAAACTCTAGGGACAATGTATTTATTTTTCAATGAGTCTGCTAGATGATTCTGATGTCCATTCAGGTTTGATGGTCGTTCAAGTCTGACACCCTAATGCTCATGCCTTCCTGGCTGTGACAAGGCTGGATTTACATTTCTGCATCTTGCAGGCAGCCAGCCCTCTGCTTCCTTTTGTCTGGGGTCGCTGGGGGAGGGTCATCCTGTTTCTTCTACTACTTCAGCCTTCCAGAGGCAGCACAATTGTAAGGCCTTAGGAACTCCTCAGAGGAGAAGGTAATAGCTATATAGTTATCATTTATCTGTAAGTGGCACTGTTTTTGTCAACATTCATTTTGTGAATTTAGAAAATACAGAGAAATTTGAAGGCAAAAATAAAAACTGAACTGTAATCTCCCTACTGAATAAAAACTATTGCAAACATTGATATACTTTCTTTTAATCTTTTGTTTTTAGAGTTTTAAAAGCTCAGATAAAGTATAAGTTTAGTATAATAAACAATGTACCACCACTCTAAATTCAAAAGGCAAGTATTTTGCCTTTTTTGCTTATTTTGAAAAATAAAAGACTTAGAAAACATTACAGATGAAGATAAATACTATCCTTCACCTCACTGCATTTTCCTTTTCAGCCTCACTCCACTTCTTTTCACTATCATAATTCTGTCTGGATCCACTCAGGCCGGTTTTTTTTTTTTTATGTTTATTTCCTATACATGCATACATAAGCAATATTGGTTTTGTTATATATGTTTGAAATTTTACATAAATACTATTATATAGAAAATATAATCCTGAAACTTGCTTTTTAAAATTAAATCTGTTTTGAGAGCTGTCTCTGTTAAGATAGATATTAACAGATGTGTCTCTGTTGCAGAAATACAGATCCAATTGACAAATTTTTATTTTCTTTATTTTTAGGTAAGATTAATGTTTATTTATATTTATTTTTGTTTCAACAGATTTAGGGGCTACACATGTTTTTTGTTGCATGGATGAATTGTATAATGCTGAAGTTGGGTTTTTAGTGTAGCCGTCACCAGAATACTATACCTTGTACCTAATAGTGAGATTCTAATTCACTAATTTTTAAAATCTGCGTAGATACAACACATGTATCTACAATGAAAGAGAGAAAAAAAATGAAAGAGGGTTTCTTTTTGAGCAGAGTCTTACTATGTTGCCCTCGGTAGAGTTCTGTGGTGTCATAGCTCACAGCAACTTCAAACTCTTGGGTTTAAGTGATTCTCTTGCCTGCATCATTAGAAACTATTCATTTATTGGTATGTCACTCATATTGATTGTGTTTGGGTTATAATGCATTTTCAACTTTCAAGGTACTGCAAAATTGCCTTTCAAAGTAGTTATAT